TAGGATGACAGTACGTAAAATGAGACTGTAGAATCCTAGAATAAAACGGATTTTTTTTAAAACAGTTAGTATTTGAATTTTTATATTTTAATTAATCTGTCATTGTTTTAATCGGTATCTGATTTAATAATGTTTTAAGGAGGGGGGGGAGGGAATATGCTGTTTTATCTTTATTGTTCTTTTAATTGTTGTAAACCGCCCAGATTGGTTCGCCATAGGGCGGTATAGAAATAAAAATTATTATTATTATTATTATTATATTTATTCTGCAGTCACAAACCCAACAAAACTCATAAAACATATACAAATGGTTAAAAACAGTTAAAAATTACCAAAAATATATATATGTGATTTTGCCATTCAGTTTAAAGGGTAACAAGTTTCTAAATGATGAGGATATTTTGATATAAAAATAACATTTGGGGAGTGTACACATTTTAATGATTGATGTTCTTCCCATAAATGATATCCTCAATTTTTTCCATTTATTATTCCATTTATTAAACGGCTGTTTAATTTATTATGTATATATGTGTATTAAAAAGCAATAAAAAGTATAATTTTTTAAAAATTACAAAATTACCAAAAAAAAGGTAACTAAAGTATGGAAATGAATGGGACTCACTACTCAACACTAGCATCACTGGAATGGAGACATATTGGATTGCAAAAGAGGGGTCCCTGTTGAGATACCATCCAACATTTCATGGAGGAAAACCAGGACATGTATGATCATGCGACATCAGAGAATAGTCAAAATGGTAATGGTTATTAATGAATAAGAAGAAACAAGCTAGGAGAGGCTGCAGCAGTTTGCTTTTGCCTAAGCCTACAGGGAAGTGAAAAAATCCCACCGCCTCCTCTTTTCTTTCCCCTTATAAGTTAATTGAATGCAAACTATTTTTGCTTATTATTATTATTATTATTATTATTATGAAGTATTTATCCCCCGCTCTTCAGCCAAAGGCTATTTTTGAATTCAGTTTGCACCCATTGAAGTAAGCTGAGGACAAAGAAGGAAAATGGAGGGAGGAGAGAGAAACTGGGACTTTTTAAAAGCAGTTGAAAAAGTGTGATGGCAGAGGACAAAAATAATTGAGGCTGTTTGCAAAACTGCAACATTGGGAATTAAGAGGTGAGGTAATGTAAGATAAGAATAGAAAGGATTATAAAAATAGAATGCATTAAAGAGGAATTAAGATGAATATAGATATTAATACAAATGTGTTTAAATATTATAATGTGTTAATTTGAGAATTGTTTAATGAATGAGGTAGCATACTTACTTTAGAAGAACTATGGAAGTTTTTATTTGTTAATATTTTGTATAGATTGAGTATATACTCATGATCAAGGAATGTATATAATGTATATATATATATATTAAATCAATAAAAAATAATTTAAAAAACCCTGCAACATTGGAAGGGTCTTTTTTAAAAAAGCAGATTAACATAACTCTCACTTTGCAATTTATTTTCAGCACTTTTGGATGTACAAACATGACACTGTACATGTGGGAGGTTTGCAAGTGTACCTACAGGATCCCTTCCTTCTTCTTTTGTCCTTTGCCAAAGGTGTACAGACGCCCGAAACTTGCTTAAAAGTAGTGGCTGAGTGTTTCCCACCATTATGAAAAGCTCCAGGCAAAGTTGGAAGTGAATTAACTCATCCAAGAATGGATTATTTTTTGCCTCTTTCAACACCACCCTTTTTTCACCCACGGCACTTGTCCAAACTTGCGCTTTCGGTTGCCGTTCACCCAAAATGAGATCTTTCCCTGTTCAATCCTAATAGGTTTGGAGACTCCGCATATTGCTTTCAATCTAGAAAGTGTTTTATATAAATATAAAAAAAACCCAAACTCTCACATTAATTATCTAAGGGGAGTTTTCATATGAAAAGAGGGAGTGGGATTTTCCTTGGAGAATCCGGAGACAAGAGAGAATGCTTAATCCTTTCCTCCACCATTTTCTCCATATTTTTTTCCCCCATGGAAACTATTCCAACTCAGGAAAGGCTTATTTCTGGATGCCAAAGCCAACAGAAAAAAGACAAGACTGGCAGGACTAAGAGAAGAGTTTAGGAGCTTCCATCCTGAATTAAAGATGGGATGCCAATACAATACAGAGCCAGTTTGGTACAGTGGTTTAAGCTTTGGAATAGGACTCTGGAGACCAGAGTTCAAATCCTGGCTCAGGCATGTAAACCCAGTGGGTGGCCTTGGGCAAATCACACTCTCTCAGCCTCAGAGGATAACAGTGGCAAACCTCCTATGAGGAAACTTGGCAAGAAAACCCCATGATAGGTTTGCCTTAGGGTCACCATAAGTCGGAAACGACTTGACGGCACACAACAACTGAGAACAAGACAAAGCAACACTGAATCCAAACCATGGTGAGAAGATGCATTCAGTTTTCAACCAGAATGTTTTAACTAGCAAAGTTGCATCCAAAGGAAACCGAAACTGCTGTTGCATGAAAATGTTAATGATTTCATGATGGCAGCCTTGTTGCAGATATGGCTGGGAGTATCTCTGCACTATGTAATCATACTGGTATGGTGCCACATAGGGTACATCTACACTGTAGAAATAATGCAGTTTGTCATCACTTATTTTCCATGGCTCCATTCTATAGAGTCATGGGATTTGTGGGTCTTTGCAGACTGCCAGAAATAGTCAAATTGAGTCCACTTTAACTACCCTGACTCAGTGCTAGGGAATCATGGGAACTGTAGTTTATTGTGGCACCAGAGCTCTCTGACAGAGAAGGCTCAATGTCTCAGAAAAAAATACAATTCCTATGATTCCCTAGCACTGAGCCAGGGCAGTTAAAGTGGACTCAATTTGCACTATTTCTAGCAGTCTGCAAGAATGGGGAGGGTGGCTATGAAAGAACTAGAAAAGATCCTAAAATGCAAAGATATACAACTCAGCACAAAAGTTAGACTCATCCAAGCCATTGTATTCCCTATTACTATGGATGGATGGGAGAGCTGGACAGTGAAGGAAGA